CCACGAGGCTCAAGCAATATAACAACTATTCCACCAAATCCCTCTCTCCCTTCTAACATGCCGTACCAAAATTATGGCAAGATGGGACCGCTAAGACCTGCAGTGGGGTTGGCGAACGTGCCTGCACTCGGGCGTCCCGTGTTTAAGCTGGATATGAGCAGTTTTGACTGAGACGCGTCTATATGAAATTTTTATGACCGGTCAATGACTAGGTCGTCCATCCGAGCGTTTGAGCCGGGTATGGACCACGCGCACGCGGACGTAGATGATCTCTACTTCTAATGGAGCAGACGGTAGGCTCTGCCGGTCAATTTTCGTCCCACCAGAAACGGTTAATTTTCGTCCTCGATCCCACCTCCCGCTACCCAACGATTCCTCCCTTCCTCCCTCGAGACAACAAAAAAACGATATGCTACCACAAGGCCCATTGTGAAACACTACGGTTCATCGACAGAAAATCTTCCTAAAAAAGTTCTACGACGTAACCTACGAAAATTAGCCAGACGTTGCCCGTGCGTTGCGAACGAGCGAGCGAAGCCTTTGCCCTCGAGCGACGCCACACCAGATCCTTCGCCCTCGCAGCCGCCGCCGACCCCCTCCCTCAAACGCCGCCTCCCGTCGCGGCCGCCCCCGCCACCTCCCGTCGCGGCCGCCCCCGCCACCTCCCGTCCGGCCTGCCCGGCCATGGCAACACCGTCGGCGGACTCCTCCTCCCCCTCACCTTCTCTCCCTCTCCCAAGGGAGGGAAGGGAATGGAAGGGGTCCGGCGGCAAGGGGAGGCAGCGCCCAGATCCGCAGCCGCACCGGCTGCAACCATGGAGGTCCGACCCGGCTGCAGCCATGGACTGAGACGTCCGAAACCCTAGCTACCCGTGGAGGTCCGACGCCTCAACCTCCAAGGAAAGGACGCGCGTTGGCTGCAGGCCATCTCCGGCGACCTCCGACCATGGTGCGCGCGCCTCCTTCCCTTGTCTTGTCGGTTTCTTCATGCCCCTCCTTGTGATTCCTTTCCTTTCCTTTGTTTTCTGTGCAGGTTGCTCGGATCTGGACCAGCTGCTGCTCCTACTGCTTCAGGTGAACGAGGACGAGCCCTCCCTCATGGCTGCTGCGGCTGCCTACTCCCTCCTCCTACCCCCTGGCCTGGTGTGGTGAGCTCCACCCCCTGGCCTGGTCTGGACACAACTTGGTGGTGTTTGCTAATGTGCACGTATCCGTCCAGTCTGAACGTGTGTGCAATCAAATTGTTGTATATTGTGTTGTTTGATTCTTGCTTGCTTGCTTGAGCAGAGGAAAATCGTGTATAGATAGACACAATCATTGTTCTTTATTTTTGACAGCCCAAAGTCATTCTTCTGCACCACATAATTCTAATTGCTCGCTTGTATGGATTTCAAGTAATCTCTCTAGCATCCTTATTATAACAAGTGGTTTAGTGCATGTTATTTATTAATGAACTTGATCAAAACTTCTTTATTTTAAGTACATTTGTACTTCCAATTTATTCATCCAATTTGATTTGCAAACAACTTGCTTTTCTAGCATGGTCATTTCTTGTTGGCATTAGAAGATATCTCTGCTTCACATTATCACTTGCAATATGGATTGTTCTTCAAAGTGGCAAATGTCGCATCATTACTTACGGTTCTGCCGATTGTAGGAGAGCAGTATTCTTCCATCCCTAATAAGAAATATCTGCTAACTAAGCGCATCAGTTAGAAGAGAAGTTAGAGCTGACGGGAGTGGTGCTAACAGTTTCCATAATAATAGCCTAACAGATAAATATATATCTTCTGATTTTTCAGATTTTGTTGTTCAATCCAGTTAAATCTATTAGCTTACTGTTTGTGGTATAACTATTTCTAGAATTTACAATGTGGTTTCCATGCCTATTGATTTAACTTGATGAGAAAAATTAAACCTATGTTATTCAAAATTTAGTGGGGACCGTTCTTGATTTTTGAATGCACTGCCTAGAAGGTAGCTCTGAATAAATCTTCTATAAAATAAACATATTTTATTGTTAAATTTTGTATTTTTAGAAGCAGATACCATTCATTGTTTTTTCGTTTACAACTGCACATGTTCGGTATGTGTCCATATATGCGGTACGGAGTTTTAGATATGAAGCAAACAGTTCAATGTATTTCGTATTGGTAGAGCTTAATCCATGATGTGTGATGCTTTCTAATGGCACTGTAGATTGTATAATTTAACATATAACTCGTTATAATTCTGTTAAGTCGTACTTATACATCTTACAACCAACATGTGTAGTGATCTACTCAGCCACCTTCTTAAAAGTGAAATTTCTTGCCAATTATAGCTGCATGCAAGAATTGATTTTCTATCTGGTAGCTATTACTCCCTCCGTTCCTAAATATTTGTCTTTCTAGAGATTTCAACAAGTGACTATATACAGAGCAAAATGAATGAACTTACACTCTAAAATATGTCTATATACATCCGTATGTGGTAGTCCATTTGAAATCTCTAAAAAGACAAATATTTAGGAACGGAGGGAATAGTATGTTTTAGAAGGGAGATTACTTTGCTTCAAGCTACAGGATGTTGTGATCTTTGTTTTTATTGCCTTCTTGTATTTCTGACATTGACTTCCTTCTTTTCCTTCCATTCTCAGTGAACAAAGGAAGCCTTGCGCCAAGGAGAAGCGGGCGTGGTGTTCGACTAGGCCAAAGAGAGGACAGGAGAGGACCACAGAGAGCAAAGGAGAGGATAGAGTCAGAGCGCCGTCAGTCAGCCGTGGGTAAATCCGGTCATGCTGCTTCAGGTTCAGGGTCTGCCTTGCTATGATACAATGCGGGAGGAGATCAACATGTAGAGCAAGGTGCGTGCCGGCCTACTTCTTCTTCAAGCTGTTGTTCCATTAGAACCGCCATTGGTTGATTTTGATGGCTAATTCGTCTCTGAATGTGCAGGTCTCCTGGTCCAAGTCCCCTGTCAGGATGTGGTTCAACATCAAGGGCAAGGCGCAGGATTTCCATGCGGATAACGATGCTACTACCCAAGGTAAACAATGCTTTTCTCCCAAAGATAGAGTCAGAGTAGGATTCTGCTTTTCTCACACTATACCTTTTGGATTTTAAGTTTTAATTAAGGGTGTAGTACAGCTCTAGACACCAACTATTTTTCTCGCATTTTGTTGCTCATCCTTTGTGTGTGATCCAGGAAGGTTCCCCTTCGTTCAATGCATTTGAGATTGCCATCATCATCATCCCGTGCCTGTAATTTCTCACTTCCGTCGGACGCTTCCAGTCCATGTTCCAAGCATTGATTCAGAGGCGCATTAGCACCAATCAGGTCCCCATCAAAAGAACGTCTTGTCTCTTCACATAGGACATGGCCTCCTCCAAGCCTCAGTTCATCCCTTGTCTGAAATCAATTCAATGGTGTACAAGTACATAGAACGTCCCAATCAAACATTACTTTTTCCCAAGTAACACACGCAGTAGATGTTATGTTTGTCCGGAGCTGCCTAGATTTTTTTTGTATATGCTTCTCATGTCAACAACAGATAGGAGTAGTTTTTTTTTAACGTGGTCAAGTTTCTACTTTTGATCCCAGGGACGAAGAACTACTGAAGAATTTGTCAGTTTTTCCTTTGCATTTTTGCTGCCTCTGTTTAGTCCAGGGGCTAAATTTTGTGTTAGTGACGCAGGATGGGACGAAGGTGATTAACGGAGGACCAGCTGCTTGTAGAGGGACACAGGCGCTGCCAAGAAAAGCAGAATTGGTACAGTTAAAGCATTTGGACCATGCTCCCCCCTCTCTCTCTCTTCATACATCAAAATTGCAGCTACCTCTTTTCTTTCTTTGTTGCTGCTTGGTCAGAGCTCTTTTTAACTGCTATGCCTCTTTTGCCAAATATAAATATAAACAATCTACTTATCCGATTGTTTGTTGGAGCAGCCCAACTTATCTGATTGTTAGTTATTATGTTTATGTTGTTCCTTATGGGCCTACTTCAGAACGGTCGTTGAAGCGAAATATCGATCATGTTCGTAGATCAGGGAATGAATTTGATGTGTCACGCCTGACAAAAGCCCAAGATTACAGGTACCACCTGTTCACTGTCTGTGCTCCTACATTGCAATAGGGATCTGCTGCGCTACTGTTCATGTTATTCAGATCATATCACGTTAGGTGGTTTTCGTAATTCTATTCGATGGCGCATTCTGAGACGTCATTATTTTGCTTCCTTATCTGTGCAGAATCTTTGTGTCGACGTGGAATGTTGGTGGCCAATGCCCATCAAGGGGGTTAAATTTAGATGACTGAATCCATTCTTCACCCCTGCTGATATCTATGTGCTCGGATATCACTTATTACGAGGACACTAAACAAGAACGCTGGGTCTAGCATTCATGCTGGCTATCACACGCCATTCCCTGTCCCTGATCCGGTTGTGGAACTAGATGCTGATTTTAAGGTATCATTGAGAAGACATGATAGCTCATCATTTTCCACCACTATCATTCCGAAACCTGAGTCGGAGTTTAAGGGTTTCAGGAAATGATATGTTCTCACAACCAATATTGGCCCGTAGGTTTATTGTGTGCAACCCTGTTAACATAGGAGTCAGGCCGAGCGATTTTGATAGAAATTTCAAGTGTATCGGATCACCGGTCGATGAGTATATTGAGGAGGATACAAGTAATGGAGCATATTTTTCACCATTCCCATAGGCTATGGTACTTAAACACCTATGGAAAAAGATGAAGAGCAGCCAAATACTTCTAGGTATTTTCTTTTGGCATGTACCATTAAATTTCATATGCCTGTTCTTTAAATATCTTAATATTTCTCTTTTAAATGTTAATATATTTAAAATTATCTGCAACTATTTGTGCTCAGCAGTCCTATCCTACCTTCTTGATGATGCTTCTGTTAAGTTCATGCAGTAAGACAAATATTGTGTTTTTACCAGGTGTCTAGGTATTGTTTGGTTGCCAGCAAACAGATGGTTGGCAGATTTCTCACAGTTTGGGTACCAGGTATATAACCAATTAACTCTGAAGAGATGAAAATACAAATTAGTGTGGTATATTGCCGGTTCTTTATCTTATGCTTGTCCATGTGCTTTTTCCCCCTAGGTTGATTATGGACCACATCAAACTTCTAAATTATAAACTAGATATCATGTTCAGCGTAATTCGGCACTAATTTTCCGGTGTGCTATTTCCCATGTCCATCTTACTATCCAGCTGCTTGCTTGTGGTAATTCTGCAAACACTAGAAAAAAAATCAAATTTATAGGTTGTTCATCCACCTTATAATGTTAATTGGAGATAAGACCACAGGAACAGTTTGAGGCACATCACATAATTATTCTGTATGAACTGCCCTAAAACTAATCATATTTACATTTGTAGGGGCTAGCTTTGCTGATGTATATGCCGACATGATAAACTTGATATACATGCATACTTTAATGTCAATTGGAGATAAGCTCATAGTCTGGGGTGCATCACATAATTACTATGTATGAACTGTCCTAGAACTAATCACATGTACACTTGTAGGCTTCAGAGTGTTGTTTCTGAAGAACCACATTCAAGTCATTAAATTGATTTTATGAAGAGATTCTCTCAGTTCTTGCATATTCGATGTTTCATGTTTGGCCTGCTTGGTAGCAACATAGATTCTCTACAACGTGCTAATGACTTATGGGATGATACCATCATCATATTGTCAGGTCATATACCTCCTATCTTTTATGCAATCTTGAAGTTTATTTACAAGGATACAATGCATGTTTTCCTGATCGAGTGATCACTCGATTATGTGTTCAACCGAGATCTGGAAATTAGGGTGAAAGGGTCAGTACTTACACATAGGGTTATAACTATAGCCAAGGATATATTCAACATATATAATTTCAAGAAAATACCAAGGTATCCATTTAGTTCTACCAATCCCATTTGCCTCATAATTGTTTTTGAAATGTTTTAACAAAATCAATTCAAAACTTTTCCTTATTAGTCCGCACCAATTTTAGATTTTAAAGTGCCTAATTTTAATCAATAAGGATCATGACATTGCAAGGCTTGAATTTTTAGACTATGTTCAGTTTCTATGCCAAGCTGGAAATTTGAAGATAAAAGTTAAGGTGTACTTCAGGTGTCAACTATCAATACTAAAAAAAGAGCCTTCATTTTTCCATTGGCTACGACATCAAACATGTGTATCCTACCATGTAGGAGTACTTGTTCCAATTCATGGCTTTCATCTTTCATGCGTGTGTCTTCAAAGTTTATAGGCAATTACCACACATAACTAACCAAGCCCCTCATCATGCTCGTGGTTAGTCATTTTAAAACCTTTCTCTTTTATCTGTTGTGTGCTCATTGAGCTATTCTATCATGCTTGTCGTTTGTTGTCAAGGTGAGTTGAGGCAGACAGCAAGGGCTGAGGTTGAAAAATAAATTGCCATTGTGATGCTAAGCAAAATATCAGGTTCTAATTAGTGGAGGACTACAAAGTTAAAGAGGTCTTGATGAGATGATTGACATGACATGAATAGTTAATTTGACGTGTATCATGGGCACTTCTTCATTATTCAGTTGCCTCGCTTGAATTTGTGGACCAACTGGTGGGCATAGTTCAGTTTTCACAGATAGCGAAAGCTGCAAAACTGGGTGTGCTAGATTTTGTTCAAAGTGCAAACTTTTATTTGATAAAGCCGGTCAAGTTTACTTGTGTACATCAATGCAGTACCAACTGTAAAAGAGTTACAACACAAGGTGAAGAGTCTCCTTTTTGTATTACACTGGGATTGAACCCGCATGTTGCTAGGGCAACCCTCTTTTATTTTGGTCTTTAACTCTATTTTCTGGTGTATCTTTGTTTATTGAAAATAGTTGTTGCCCTGCCCTCGACAATTTGCAGTGTGTGCATGACATCTTATATACACTATGGCCCTGTTTGGTTCAGCTTTTATCGACGGATTCCGCTGCCGCGCAGCAGAATCTGAACCAAAGGGCAAACCCAGCAGAATCTGATTCCAGAAATTCGCTGCCAAAATTTGAACCAAAAGCGGAAGCAGCCCAGGACGTGCTTTCCAAAATCTGATTTGGATGCGGGCAAAAATCTGAAAAAACTGTATCAGCTGGTTTGTCAAATGACCTACATCTTTTTCACAACTGCTTTTAGAAATCCACAACCGAACCAAACAGGGCCTATGGCTGGCTAATTTAGATAATTACCACCTATGACCACTATCTTGCCTATTTTTCTTGTGATGGCAACCATAAGTAGAGGGTTCAGCAAGGCATTGAGAGAGACAGGTGGCAACTTCTCTACATGTAAAAAAACT